ACCCGAGGTAGAGAGCTAGGCAGAGAGGTTAAGTAAAGTTATCCTAAGTTTTAGAGCTCTGGATAGAGATTAGGTAAAGATAAGCCTTGGGTTAAGTAGAAGGATAGTGTTTAAGTAAAGACAAACTTAGGTTTATAGCTCGAGCTTGAGGTTAGTAACGGTATCTCAAGGGATAGATGTTAGGTAAATATATACCTAGGTGTGGAGCTAGAGATAGTTGTTACAGTAAGGCTACACCAGTTTAAGAGCTAAGGATAACGATATCCCTAAGTTTAGAAATAGGTATATATACTACGTAAAGATTACCCTCGATTTAGATTTAGGTGTAGATGTTAGGTAAAGTTAACCTTGTGTTTTGTGGTTGAGACAGAAATTCGGTAAAAATAACCCTAGGTATAGAAGTAGGGATAGAGGTTCGGTATAGAAAACACTAATGTTAAAACAAGGAATAGATGAAAACACATATTCGAGCTAGATTATGTAAAAATATCTCTAAGATTAGAAGTAGGCGTAGAGGTTAGGTAAAGAAGGCCCTAGTGTTTAGGTGATAGTGGTTATATAAAGACAACCGGATAAGAATTCGGTTAGGTTAAGATAGCACTCAGGGTTAGAGGTTATGTAAAAAAACAAAAACAACAAAAAAACAAAAAAACAAACTAGTTTTATATCTAGGGATAGATGTTAGGTGAAGATAAATTTTTCAGTTAAGTTTGGCATTAGATATTCCAAAGTTTAGGGGTTAGGTAACGATAACTTCAGCGTTAGAGCTACGGATAAAGATTAGAAATAACTCTAAGATTATAGCCAGGGATATAAAATTTCCACAGCTGGTGAAAGAATTACCTAATTGCTTGTTACGCAGCAATTATTAGATAAATTAAAATCACTAACAAGCGAAAGAAAGAAAGTCGTAAGTTTTATAACACAATGGCAAATAACACAGAAATAAAAATGCAGGAACTCCTTGACAGGTTAATAAAGGAAAGCGCGAAGAAAGAACTAACTATTGATTGTAAGAACATAGTATGTATAGTCGTTAGCATGTGGGACAGCTCAAGATGGACAGAGCATGCGAGCAACAAGAAAGTTTTAAGGAAAATAGAAACAAAAAAGGCATACTTAAAATCAGAAAGAAAAAGTTGAAATCTCTGGAACACATAATGAGGAAAGTGGTTTGGAGAATGTGATACTCAAAATACATATTGAAGGCAAGAGGAGCAGAGAGAAACAGTGAATAACCCACCTAGCAGGCTTGTGTAAATGGGTGATAGAACAATGATTAGGAAGAATAGTAAGGAGGAAAACATTATTTAGAGCTACAAAGGATTGGACGTTATAGTGAGCTTTAAGAAGCACACCATGAAAAGACACAGTGCATAAAAGAAAAAGTTGCTGTTTTAATGTGATCAGGCAACTCTTGACCGCAACTGTTCTTATTGACTTAATATCTATGGTTGCGTTAGTGGAAGAGTTTCTCATAATTTTACTGAGAAATCGAAAGTGATTTGGGTGACGCACAATGGTCTGACTGTTGAATGACGCAAATGAAGGATTGGCACTAAGATAAACTGTCATACGTCAAATTATTTCTCTATAGGAAAGGGTCGACTAAAGTCGATAGTCCTGAAACTAAAACCATTTATTGTACTTTATTCATTGTAACTTGCATTATTTTTTGTATACGCTGGCATTCTTGTGATATCTTATGTTATTTGATTGATTTTGATTGTAATCTTGATTTTTTTCCCACAACTACCATTTTAAAAAAATAAGTTACTTGTCCAGAAATTTATTAACTCCTTTTCCAGGCGCACAAACCAAAAAATTTGGGCGTCCTTAATATTTAGTAAAATTTTATTATATTTTAATAAAGTTGTTTTTGGTTTATATGTCACTCAGTATCTCTTGTCAATTTTTACGGTGCACCTTGTTGTCGCTTGATCTCTATTCTCTCCAATCTCTTTTAACCGAACCCACAATAAATATACGTTAATAGTTGTTTTTACCTGTTTTTCATACCAGTACAAGGGATTTGAGGTTAATAGAATATTTCTTGTCATTCTAAATATTAATCTTTTTTCCCTAAAAACTTTATTTACAAAATGAAAGATTTTAAATAATGAATGAGTTACATGATGTATAGAAAAGTCATTTCCTCTTCATCCATCTGCAAACATCTTTGTCTTCGGTGACTTTAATGCTCCCCACGACACATGGCTGAAACATTCTAAAGGTACTGATGTTGCCGGTATATAGACATTAATTTTTTCCACTGCCCAATCCCTCACTCAAATCATGAACTTCCCTAGCCAAACCGAGCAATATGTTTCTCTATTGGATCTATTTCTTACCCCCTCTCCCCGCTATTGCCAAGCTTCACAATACTGCCCCCTTGGTAACTCGGACCACTCTCTGGTAGCTAATGATATCTCTTTTCAAGAATTCATTAAACAGAAACTCCCTATCCATAAGACCTCCTTCCATTACCAACATGCTGATTGGGACTCATTCTCGGATTTTCTTCGTGACGCTCCTTGGACTGACATCTTTAAACTCTCAACTGAAAATTGCGCCACTGAAGTTTCTTCTTGGGTCAAATCCGCCTTCATGGACGCTTTTATCCCTTCTCGGAAATACCAGGTGAAACCTCAATCCTCTCCATGGTTTACACCGCCATAGCACACAGGAACCACTATTTCCGACTATACCAGCGTGACAGCTCTCGTCATAACAAGTGCCTATTTGCTACTAATCGTAACAAATGTAAGCGAGTTCTCAAAAAAGCCTATTTGCTGAGAAAACGAAGCAAGGTTTAGCTTTAAAAACTTTGGCTCTCGTGACTACCCTATTACAGAGACACCAGTGTCTCTGTAATAGGGTTTTAAATAAGTGCAATGTTTATATCCCCTCGTCCTCTTCAATGGATTCGAGGTGCTGATAAAGCTGAATATTTTATCCGTAAATTCTCCTCAAACTCTACTCGACTCATTTGGTGTATCCCTGCCTAACTTCCCACTTAGAATTGATTCTCTGTTAAGTGATATGCATATAACCCTTTCTATGGTTTCTGCTATCATCTCTAAACTGGATCCCCACAAAACATGTAGACCCCATGGCATTCCTATTATAGTCATCAAGAAGTGTTCCCCCGAAACTAGCTCCTGTTCTCTCTAAACTGTATTAACAAATGCCTCGTTGTCTCTTACTTTCTTACTTGAAGGAAGTCATCGTCTGTTGTTCCAGTTTTTAAGAACTCTGGTGAACAATCTGACCAATCCAGCTATCGGCCTATTCGTATTCTGTCTCTTTTTGGGAAACTCCTGTAGGCCCTAATCAATGCTGAATTGATTCATCATCTCTCATCACAGGGCCTTTTCTCAGACAAGCAATACGACTTTCGTTTTTCCAGATCAACTGCTGATGTACGAACGATAATTGCGGAAGGAGTCTATCATGCTTTAGATAAAAACAGTGAATCCCTGGCTGTTGCATTGGACATCTCGAAAGCCTTTGACAGGGTCTGGCATTCAGGTTTTCTCCACAAGATGAAAAGCTATGGTATCTCCACTCACGTTTTTGAGCTGATCCAGTCGTTCCTATCAAATCGTGAAATGGAAATTGTCCTGAACGGCCACTCGTCTACATCCTTTCGTACTAACGCGGGTGTCCCCCAGGGCTCCATCCTTGGTCCTACTGTGTTTTTAATCTTCATTAACCACTTTCCCGATGACATCATCTCTCAATTTGGCATCTACACTGACGGCATCATCATTTATTCCTGCCTCGATAGTAAAGCCTGATCAGTCAGACATGGTCAAAATGGCAGCCGATGTACAAAAGACCTCAAGACCGTTGCTAACTGGGGTAAAAGATGTCTTGTCAATTTTAACGCCTTCAAAACTAAATTGCTCTCCATTAATCATCTGAGCGACCCCTTTCTGCCTTCCATCAGCATGGCTAATGCTATCCTCCAAGAAATTCACTCATTGCTCCTTCTCGGTCTAACGTTTTCAGCTGATATGAGGTGGAAAGTGTACATTGAATCTAGCGCTAAATCAACTACTACGAAAGTCGGTTCACTGTCTCATGCGAGACAATTTCTCTCAATCGCTATCTACTGCCTTCTTGATTGCTCTTTTCTCTTTCTCCTCATTACTAATGTTTCTGTTCCTAATTCTTCCACATTCTGTAACCCCTTGCGTGTTAGTGGCTATACTGCCTTGATCAGGGTGATACCGATTAAAAAAAAAACATCGACTCCAGTATATTTCAAATGTCGATTCTTTGTATTTACTTGGCTGTTGTGGATATGGAAAGTATCATTTTATGCCTCCTCATACATTTGTTCTGCAATCAATATTTGGCAGTCACATGTGAGTCCGGGTAAAAAAAAATTACAAAACATGGAATTCAAACAAACAACCTTTGTTACAGAATGATAAAGAAAGAAACGAAGTTAAATTTATGAACAACTCAATACAATCTTCAGTCTGTGTCTCTATCAGAGCGAAAGAAAATGTATTGTTTCTCCAAAGGTCTAAGGGAGAGAAAGAGACTTTCAAATATCGTGCTGCTGTGGTTATCATCAGGGGACAGTAATCCAACAAATCTTCATTCTTTCATTTTCAAGAATTTCAAATTTTAATAATACAATGTCAACTATTAAACCAGTAGACTTTCTTTTTAATGTTGGTGGGTTTTATATATATATATATATATATATATATATATATATATATATATTTTTACTTATGAACAAACTGTCCTATGTCTGAATTCGCAGTTCCAAAGCACATAGGTTAGAAAATAATGACAAAGTTATATCCCTTTATATAATAAGGTAGATAACTTTTAAGTCGTGTTATGCACCGTTGGGTGATGTGGAAAGGATTACATTGTGTGTGTTGGTAGCGTAAACTTAAAATAATCATTGCTTTCCATCACAAAGGTCAAATAAATAGGCTAGAATAATGCTTGTACTGGCTCACACGAATCGAGTTATGTGTTTCCACCACTTCTTCGTTCGTTCCGCTACTGTTATTTCGAAAGGGAAAGAGTATGGAATGTTGATAAATCGAACAGCAAATAATGCAAACTTTTTGTTGAATCACAGTCCTCGCCCCGTTTCTTTTTATTCGTCTTCTTATTGCACTTTCAGTTTCTCTACTCAAGCTACTACTGCAACAGCATCTGGTACTGCCTATAACTTGTGGTGGAATAACCCTCACTGTCACTACTACTACCACACACAGCAAAACAGACTAAAAACTATAAACAAGAACGGTTACTACATTCAGACACAGTTATTGCATACCAGCCGGGTTGACAACATGAAGTTTGTACAATTTCTTAGGACTTCTAATGGGACCCAAACACGCGGCCTTGGTGTTGAGCTGCCCCTTTCAGACGAGATTGTGGACTTGTCTGCAGCTGATCCCACAATACCCACAGATATGAAGACCTTTTTGGAAGGATCCCGGACACACCTGGTTACGGCCTTACGGTGAGTTTGCGAACGTTAGTTGCATAAAGGTTGGGTGTCGTAGCTCTTCAACTTCAACATAGGAGTAGTTCAATTGGTAGCATGCTGTGATTAAGAAAACATTGGGAAAATTTGTTTTAATTTTTAAAAAAATACTCGCTAGATCGTATGCTTGAATAAAAAAAACTATGTACCTCCAAAGATTCACTAAAAATGAACATACATGATGAAAAAATGCTTCAAACTTATTAAAAACAGTTTTATCGTAAAAATTTTTTATGTTAAGTAAGAGGATTTTTTTTATTATTATTATTAATTAGATTATTTAATCCTTTTTTTTTTTAGAACCTTCGAAATTTTGTTTAAACATTTGCTTTTCTTGCGTCAAAGTGTTAAACTTGTATGGAAAATTTGAGCGTCTTTTTTGCAATGAAAAACATTGATTCGGAAATTCAAGTAATTGTCTGATTTTAATTAAATCTTCAGGACTTATTCACAAATGAATGGGATTATTTTTGAATCCTTCTATTTTTATAAAAATTCTGAGAAGAATATTTTTTACATCTGTTACCTACCCCCACTTGTTTAATTTTATGAAATTTTGAGAAGTTCATTTTTATGGAGCTTAAATGTTTTTAGTTTATATTAATGACAAGTCATTTGAGAATTTTAATCATTAAACTTTTTTTAGTTACACTTAAGCCTCTGTTATAGAAAATCTGCTCTCAATTGTAAAATAAAAAATGCAATAAAACTGAAACATTTAATTAGAAAAACTTTTAATATTATGGACACTATTGTCTTAAGACAAAAAATTACAAGAATTATTTTCATTTAAAAAAAAAATTAATAATAATAATTTATAAACTTTTAAATCTTTTAAAATTCTGTATTAATATATAGTGGTTAGGTGATATTGTTATTAAATAAAAACTATTTACTAACCATAAATGTAAATTCAGCAACTTCACCATTTTCATTATTGTTTACAATATAAAGACATTTCTTCATTATCTGCAGATTATTAATATTTGTTATCTGAAGGCTAATTACACTATGATTCATTCTTTCCTCCTTATTACAATGTATGGTCAGGACTAACTCTTTATCTGTCAAATTAGAGAATGAACCTTACAGATAACAAATATATATGATACCCAACATTGATAACTCTTCTCTTAAAATAACCAGCATAGCATGGCCAAAGTCCCTTTGCTTTGCTAATCTGTGCAATTGTTTCTTTGAGAGATTTGTGCTCCTTTCAACTAATAAGTCTATCAAAACACTCAATAATATTAACCATGTAGATTAGTGGTTTTGGTCCTATTCTTTGTATATGAGAATTCAAATCATATTACTGTCAAAATCTTCATTTATTTACACTTATTTAATTTTCAGTTTTTCAAGTGGACGTACACACAAATCCTTTGAGCTTTATATATTAGAAACCTATTTCAATCTATTTGAATCTGAAAAACGTTAAAATAATAGAGATTATTTTTTACAACTTTTAGAGCAGAATATTACTTCATTTGAATACCTAAGCCATTTTAAAAGCCATCACTGAAACACTCACTTATTTCTAAAGATCACAAAAGACCAGATTGGAAAAAGGATAACAATCTACAATTATTAAGAATTTTATTTTGAAAGCTGAATATGTGAATTACTTATCTCCATTAAGCAAAATGGATATGCTTGTAGTGTAATGGTTAGCTACTTGGAATGAGCTGTTAGCAAGCTGAATTTGAATTTGTCACATTCACTTTTGCACAAATACCCTTCGAATAGTTATGACTTTATCTTTTTTCCTCCAGCTATGTGTTAAATAACAAGGCAGACTGGACTCTTTAGCTATGGTTAGTAACGAGTCTAGTAGGACAACTCTGAATTCAAATCTCAGACATCTGAAGCAGTATGTATATGGTTAAACATATGGTGGTGATACTAGGTCTATAAAACAAAAACCAGATAGATTTCAACACTATGCATAATTCAGTTAGTAATTATCCAGAATGCTTTTGACACAACAAGCATTGAGCCAAAGGAAATTATTGTGTCATATCATGTCATTAAGCAAGATCCACTAAATTGGGCAAGATATAAAGCGTGCTCCTAAATATAAATAAAAAATACATTTCTTTGATTTGATAACTTTATGTAATATTTGTATATATATACATGAACTGACAAATAACTTTATATATTAATTTTCAGATTTTTTGTGTGGACAGACACATACCACAAACTCAAGCTTTATATATATATATATATATATATATATATATATATATATATATATATATTTCTAATACAAAAATATTTTTATATCTAACTTTTGTTTTCAGTTTTCTGCAATTAGAAATTTGGGAGAAAAAAAAACTTAAAAATATTTTAAATCTAAAAGTAAACCATTATCATTTACCCTCAGAAATTATATATATATATATATAATATATATATATTCTTTCTATATATATATATATATAATATATAATATTATACTATTATTATTTGAATATATATATGTGTGTGTTTGTATATATACATATATATATATATATATATATATATATATATATATATATATACATATAAATATAGATAACTAGACTCGTTTTTGAAAACCCTCGAATTTTGATTTGCTAATCAAATCAATCTCGAGGAAAAAAGGTTTTAAAAAAGAAAGAGCTACAAACATGAACTTCTGTCAACAAAAAAATCGCACAGATGCAGGTCTGAAGCCCAAAAGAAAAAACCCCGATACGAGTAAACAACTAACTAACAAAAAGAGCTCAATACAACCGTAGAGGGAAATATTAAAAAATGCCCAAAATATAAAGCAGGCCATAAATTTTGCAAATTATGTGCTGAGGAGAAATTAGCCATAGCTTTATATGATCAACCTAACCAGCTATTAAACTCTAAAACTGAAATTCTTAATGTATGTAGACATAAAAAATCTTGCCTACTAAATTAGACGTTTTCCCGTTATTGTCTTTCCACCTTGAGGATTTTTTTTTTTTTTTGTCATGTGGTATGATTTTAGCTAACACCTATAAATATGTGTTTCTCTTTGCCTTGTTAGCCAAACTTTCCCTGACAATCCATTTAGGTGAAACCTAGGTAGGTTTGTCTGGCTCTAGGTGTATCTATATATATATATATATATATATATATATATATATATATATATATATATATATATATATATATATATATATATATATATATATGATGTGGGATAAGGATAAATTGAAAACTCAAATAAATAGACATAATACATCTAAATTATTTAACTAAACATGATTGAATGAATATGTGCTGCCTAAATATTCATATATATATATGTATGTATGTGTGTGTATATATATATATATATATATATATATATATATATATATATATATTTGTCCTTTTCTGGGTATTTCACACAAAAGATAGTTAACAACTGAATGTTATTTTCTTTTGTTACTTATTAGTTGCTGATATTACAAGTTATGTTTGTAAAAATTGATATAGTTTAGGCTTGAATTTATCCTTGTCTATCAATTCCATAAACAAATAGAAAAATATATTTGCAGAAGTAAATCTGTTATCTTCTAAAATCTGCAATAAATGTTATATCAATTAAATCTGCTGAAAGATTTGTAAAAAGGAATAAAATGAGTCAGTCATTTAAGTTTATACATGAAAATATATGGATTTATTACATTTAATAAAATGTTTTTTTTCTATTATCCATATATGGTATTTTAAAATGAATTATCAAATTTTTTAAACAAAATATTTCATGCATTGATAATCAAAATTAACAAAATGCTGCCTACTAAGGTCAAGGTCATAAATAAATTTACAGAAGTGAAATATTTAATGTATTGACAATCAAGATTATTAATTCTAAGTTTTGTATTTTTTTTTAATTACTAATTTGAATTAGTAACTACTTTTTTTTAGTAAAGTAAATTATTTTTTATTTATAAAACTTATCCATTATATTGTTAAGCATGACTCAATAAATTTCCACTACAAAGATTATTTGATATTAAGTTATGTATAATTGGTACCTACTTAACAGCTGACTATTTTAAAGTACTGTGAAATGAAACTTTTAATTAAAAACCGTAACAGTTACCAATCAATGTTTGAGCATATTCCATTTTTAGTGAACTGACTATTCAACTTTGTACTCTTCTGCAAGCCTTCCCTTTGCATGTTTTATGAAAAGTATGTCAGTAATTGTGCTTGAATATTTATTGTAACCATGAGAAAAACTATTCCATTCTTTCCTCAACTATTTTTGCCCCATGAAGCATCTATGAATATTTCAATGACTCTATCATGTCACAAATTAATCTGTGTTCATCATATTTTTTCTAGATCTTGCAAAAATTTCACAAAAGATTTGAGTTTATTCTCCTTAACAAAGATGTACAGAGAATTTGTTAAAAGGTCAAAACAGAAAGTTAATTAACTGATCTCTAGTATGGAGGAAATATTGATGATAAAATGTTAATATTTATTTAACAACAGTAAATCAAACTAATATATGAATCTAGCAATTATCAACCAGATAAATCCTGGTGTATATCTAACAAGAATAAAGCAATGAAACCCAGATTCAAGAGAGTTGGACTGTGAGGCTCAAACAATTCAAGCAGGGATTTTCTGAACTTTGTTCATCTGGATGTGAAATGAAGAGAAAAATTGAAATAATCCAAACATTTTTTTAGTTTTCTGAACTAAACACATTCTAATATTTCAAGTATTTTGAGATTTAGAAAAACTTATTATTTCAACATGTAAAATTTATTTCAGAAAATTACTTTTTTTTCAATAATTCATTTTAAAATACCATATATGGCTTCAATAATTTAAATTATCCAAACATATTTTTTCAACAACCCTTGTCCCACAGTCTCTAGATAATCAAGGCAGTGCTGTAATTTGCTACTTAAAAAAGAAAGTAAATAATAGTGTTATTATGAATGGATATTTGCTGGATTCTATTAATACCAACA